GCTTCTATTTAACCAGCCCTCAAATCAGCAGTCAGTGTCAGATTATTCCCGAGCCTGTGGGTGAGAGTGTCTAGCTCAGGGGTGTCAAACTGGTTCCAGCAAGGGCCGTGTGGCAGCAGGTTTTCTTCCTAACCAAGCGATAGCACACCAGACGCCAGTCATCTAATCAAGTGAGTCCAATCTCAACATGATGACTAGATGATTGGAGTCTGGTGTGCTATTGCTTGATTGGAAAGAAAATCCTGCAGCCACATGGACCTTTCTGTGACTGGTTTAACACCCCTAGTCTAGCGCATCCTTAGTGTTGCTGATTACCTGATCCTGACCTGTTTCTGCCTCTCAACCACTGAGCCTTCCTGGTCCCTTCTAATCTGTTTGCCTGACCCGTCTTCTGACTCCTGCTGGATTCTATCTGTTAACTGAACTTGCAACTGATTCCTGACACAGTTCTGGATTTCTCTTTGGAACCTCTTTGGACTTCTGATCTCCTAGTTCTGAAACTTGAGCACGTCCTTGACACTGGCTTTGGCTTCGTCCTCTGGATTATCAGATTCTTCTGCCTGAATCTGATCTCCTGCATGTTTTCCATCCTCCGGGGCTTCAACATCTGGGACTCTCTGGGCGGCGCTCACCCCATGTTGTTGGCAGTCAACAGACTGGAATCAACCTTGTTCTCAGGGCACAGACTGAACTATAGGACCTGGTTGGTGACTCACGTTTATAATCATTCTCTGTCAGATTAACATGGTCACTAATCTGTTTTCCTCCTGCAGAGGTTCCTGTCTTAGACCTAGTTGCTGTTACTTTAAATTTTTAAATAAACACTTTTGAGATATCTGACTGTCTGTCTGCCTTGAATACTAAGATCTCTATTTTGAGCCTTGTCAGGATTTATGGACAAATATAACTGAGTGTCATAAACATAATAGTGGTAAGTATTTTAATGCTGTGTGCTACATTATCATCACAGCTGCCCAGGGGCAAGCTTGCACAAACAGGTGCTTGTCAAGATTTAGTTTTGGTTTGAGGACCCAAATGCAGAGGCAGGGGGGCAGAGGTGAGTTTCTTGTAGATTTAATGAAAGGTCAACAGACAACTGAGGCAGGAATCCAAAAATCCAAAAATCAAACATTAAAAAGTAAAACAAACCAGAAACAATGGAGACTTCAGGGGAAAACCATAACAACGAGGAAGACACATTAAGACGGAGTTGGAGGAAGTTAGACGAGGAACCAGCACTGAGGAACTGCACAAGGAGAGTATTTATGGCTAACTGAACAAAGAGAGGACTAACGAGCAGATTGGGAGCAGGTGTGAAGAGAGCAGTCTAAGGAGATAGTGAAAAAGGGTAGAAACACAAGAGGGCAACAGAGAGCAACAAATAAAAACCTGAGAACTGAAATATAACCAGAAAACACAACAAAATAAGAATTAAACAAAAAAAAACTAGAAAACATGGAGCAACGTTAAACTGAATACTCAAAATAAAACATAACAGAACTAAGACTGTAACAGTGCCAACAGGCCCTCTGAACACCACCCACACTTGAAGTCAGGGATGTCACCAAAAGATACGAATAAGATGAACTTCAAACCGTGTATCATCTATGTTGTTGTTAGCAAATATGTTTTAAGATATACCAGTTCACGGATAGGTTAGCATTCTTGGAGGAACTCTACTAACTGATTATTTTAGATTCAATAGATTTTTAAGAGTTTCTTGAATTAAACTCCAAGGATTAACACAGAATCTCTGCAGAAACTATGCAAGCACACCATCTTTTTCATAGCTGAATTAGACTAGTAGATGTTTAAGGTACAACACCAACCCTGGAATTTAACACATTTGATTTTGGTGTGTACATTCACACATTTCTGAATAAGGTGTGCAGAAAAATCTTAAGCGTTAAGATGAAACCACCTGAAGCGGGAGGAGCTGTAATATGAGCTTCAATAATTAAAAGCATGCCAGTGGGTGGTGCACTAGCAATGCTGCAAAGGTAATGACTGAAAAGGCAAAAGTTAAACTCTAACAACAGGAAAACAAAAGATGGCAGCCTGTCTG